GTTGGGCCAGGTTAACCCCCTTTTTTGATTTTTTATTTTATTTTGTTTTGTTTAGTTAACTTTTCAAATGAATAATTAACAATTTATAAATGAATAAATGTAATTGTTTTTAGTTAACTTTTTTTCAAATATCAAAAATTCAATTAAATTAATTTTTTCTTTTTGTTAACATTTCAAATATTAATTCAATTTTAATACATTAAAATTGTAATATAAGAAAAATTAAATTTATTCATTTATCAAAAAATAAAATAAGAAATTACAATAATTATTGCCTCGTTAAAAACCTCACCAAGAAAAACCCAATGGGACAAAAACTTGGTAAGGAAAAAGAGTGCAATAATTGACAATTAATTTACAAAACAACTAATTTTGGGGTTGACTAGGACCTCCCTCATCCGTATCATCTATATTACAAAATTGAAATGATTCTATTAAAGTATCGTCGACAACCTTGTATTGATCTTGATGGCACGACCGTTCCTAATCTCGAAGACATGTGAGGACTTCAATAATTTTTGGTGAAAGTTTAGTCCTCCTTTCATTTAAAATTCTTTCACTTGCACTAAATGTTTATTCGAATGAGACGGCTGAGACAGGAACAACAAAAACATCCAAGGCAAGTTTTGATAATACCGGAAAAATAATTTTCTGGTTTTCCAATATTCTAAGACATCAAAGTTGGCTCTTTGTTGTGGATCTGTTGGTAACATCAGGTGTTCCCAAATATTGTTGAAGCTCGTTACTCTGTGACTGCATGGCGGACAGTATATTCGTTGCTGCCGTTGGTGCTTCTGAAGAGGAGGTTGTGCCTGTGCTTCGGGTTCTGGTCCTATTCGGCCTATTAAATGCACTCCAGGTGTAGAAGTCTTCATTTGTTTCTTCTGATGCAACTTCCTTGTGTATTTCGTGTCTTTGTGGGTTCCCATACCTATTTTCATATTGGAAATATACCTCTGTAAGACAATTTTTTACCTCTCCTATTTGATTAGCAAATGCTACATTTTGTAAATTTTCGGTTAATGTCTCTAAACCATTTTCTAAACCTTCTTGTTTAATTTTTGGATCAAATATAGCACCTAAACAATAAAGAAAAGGAATGGATTTAAAATATTTTAAAAAAAAATTTCCATTGCTTTTATTGGTTCTTTTAAAATTTTATTGTTTTTGTTTTTTGTAAATAACTTTGAAATTTTTATAATTGTATGTATTACCAATGGACTAGTACGATGATACACACCAGAAAGTTGTAAAGTGGATTGGTAAAACATTTTAAGAAAAGAATGAAATACTTTAGCTATTTGGCAATTATTTTCTACCAAATAATGAGGACCTCTATTATTTGCTACAAAATAACTAATTAAATTTGGATAAGGTAAACATGAATCAAGCATTAAATAAGTACTATTCCATCTAACATACATGTCTAATGCAAAAGTTCTAGGAGACATATTTGATTTTATACAAGCATCTTGAAATTCAGCATTTCTTTTATTACTACCAGTAATCCAAGCTAAACAATCTCTAATTCTATCAATATTTTCTTTAATTGTTTTCATACCACTTTTTACAATTAAATTAATAATGTGACATGCACAACGTTGGTGAAAAAACTTCAAATTGTTATAAAAAGGATAATTACTTTGAAAAAAAACCTATAGTTATAGTATTAGCACTTGCATTATCTAAAGTTAAACTTATCACATTAGTAACAATATCATAATCTTCTAAAACTTTAACAATTTTATTATAAATTTGTTGACCACTATGATCCACATCCATTAATCTAAATCCTAATAAAGATTTATTTAATTTATATTCGTTATCAAAATAATTACTAGTCACACAAATATAATCTTGTTTAGCTCTACCACTGCAAATATCGGCAGTTAGAGTCACACTAACATGATAAGTATGTATTTCATTTTTTAATTCTAATTTCATTTTCCTAAACAATTTTATTAAATCATTTCTAGTTGCAGTTTAGAATAACTTTTAAATCCTGGAAAAAATGAATTTTTAATAAATCTTTCAAAATATTTATCTTCAGCCATATTAATAGGTTGATCAGTTGCAACAATAAATAAAGTTAATTGTTCCCTATATACATCAGAATTATAACGCCAAGTAGTACCCATATTAGTTATTTGAGTTTGATTGGTTTCTCTATTTCTATGTTGAGCAATATGTTTATTAGCATGCATTTTTAAAGTACTAGTACCATTACCTGAATCGACTTTATAAACATTTCCACAATACTTGCATCTTGCTTTCTTCACTTGAACTCCATTTTCTACCTCATAAAACTTATCGAAATGCGTCCAAACGTCTGATATGTGTCTGTCGTCGCTTTCGACAGCAGTTGATGAACCCGCTTCAGCTTGAGATGAAGTTGGACAAGGATGATGATTACGAGGATAACTTCTAGAACCACCAGCAGTTGTAGGTGTAGCAGCATGGGGAGGAATCAGGGGCATATTTTGAGGTGTATCAGATTCTGAGACTGGGAAAGCGGGACTATTTGAATCTCCTCTTGCATTCATGTTAGTAAATTCAGCGGGACTAGGACTAGGATAGTAGTTTCCTTCATCATTGAAATTGATGGGAGAGAAATATTTATCTATTGTAGTTGAAACAAAAAAAATTGATGTAGAAGAGATAAAAAAAATTAAAGAAAGAGAATTGGAATATGAAAAATTGGAAATATGAATTGAAAATTGCAAAAACTAATAAAATTAAAATAAGAGCAAATTGATAACAAAGAGATTAAGAGAATAATTGAGAGATTTCAATAGAGATTAGAGAAAATGAGAGAATGAGAAAATTTGAGTTGTGAGAAAATTTGAGAGTTTAGGGCCAATTTATAGAAAAAGATGGGAAAAGAAAATGACGAAAAAGACCCCTCTAACTGCTATAAAATGGCTATATTTCAAGGGTAAAAGGGGAATTCAAAAAAACAAATTAATTTTGTTGTTTTTTTTAATTTTTTTTGGCCAACCTGCAAGTCAATCCGGTGGGTTGGCGATCCTTTCTTAGAAAAGACAAAATAGTAACCTGTGGGTCGTCGGGTTGCCAAATGGCAACCCGGCCCGCCCAGGGGTTGCATGCAGGTCGGGTTCAACCCGGCCCACCTTATTGGTGGTCCAGGTTGAACCTTCTTTAATGCAGGCCAGGTTAGGGTTGACCCACCTAACTCGGCCCATTTGTTCCACCTCTAGGAAAGAGAAGAATAGAAACAGATTAGTTGCAAGTATAGAAAAAAATATGTTAAAAATATTAATACAAATATTTTTATACATTGCTTTCAAAATATGAAAACACGTCAAAGAAAATTATGGGTGCGTTTGGCTTATTGTTTTTATCCATATTCTCAATCATATTCTTCAAAAGTTGTTTGGCACGTTATTCCCAAAATATTAGTCTATTTTTTAATTACTTTTAGACCCCATAAGTTTCTTAATTTCATTAAATACCCCCCAGAAAAAAAGTTTAAAAACTAACCAAAACACCTCCACCCACCAATACTTGCCAGATTTCGGCAACCACTACTGGTGGGAGCTGGAATCTGTCACAACAATCACACGACCACCGTAAATGGCCAGTAATGGCCAGATCTAGCCTTTTCCGGCCAGATCCGTTGTGGATCTGGCTGGAAAAGGCCAGATCAAAGAAATGGCTATCAACAATGGCATTTTCCAGCCGTCGAAGGCCACATCCGGCCTTAAATCTGATATTTTCCAGCTAGATCCGTGGTGGATATGGCCAGAAAAGGCCATATTGATCGAATACCCGCCAGATTCGATCGGTATGTGTGGTTATCCAATTTTCCGACCAGATTCCGGCGGTGGTGGCCGGAATCTGGCACTGTAGGTGGTAGGGGTGTTTTTGTTATTTTATAATATTTTAATATATTGGGGTGTTTATTAAATTAGCAAACCTTGTGGGCTTTTTCATAAATTTTTAAATTTTATCTCGTAATACTCTCCTATTCAACTATCCAATACTATCTCCAAAATCCTACTCAAAATAATAAACCAAACGCACCCTATAATATTTGTATTAAATAAAAACTATGGATAAATATTAAAGTTCAATATTTATCTCAATTAAGTACATTGATTTTTTGAAATATTCCTCTCTCATGAACTAGGAGATAAGTGATGAAAGGCCTCGTCATTAACCCAAGTCGTAATATTAAAAAAATGTAGAGATAATTTACGAGGAAAGTCCAAATAGATAACTGAAAGCATTTCCAATGCAATTTCTTGTTGGGCAAGTCATGTTTGGGACAATTACGTTGGGGTGTTGAAAAGTTACAGTGAGAAAAAGACAGAAGGGCGCTAAAGTCAATGTGAGTGTCTTTTCGGGTGTTAAAATAGACAAAGTGTTACATATGCAGTGACGTAAACAATTTAACAACTTGCAATAAGTTAACACAGATAAGGTAAACTCAAACATTATTGCAATAAATAAACACAGATGGGGTAACAAAATTCATTTTTATATTAGTTCAAATTATAATTTTCGGTTTGCAGAACTAAAGATAAGAGAGATTTAATTAATTATTGTCGTACACAAATTGAATGAATAATTGCGACTATATTTTATTAATTTTCAAAGGCTTATCCCGGACTAAAACTTGATTTAGTCCTTTAATAACTATGCCATTATATATAACTAAGTCTGATCGATTAGTATTATGATTCCAAGACAATATGAGTTTTCTTAACAAAGAAGAAAACACACATTTTGGTACAATATTCAAAAGTATTTGCGCAAATATTGAATCCATTCCCAAGTATATAAATATTCTAAGCCTAGATTCCTGGAAATGAAATGAAAATAAATATTATATATTTAGACTTTTAAATGAATAATTGGATTTTCATATATAAATATTGAAAATAAATATCATATATTTGGACTTTTCATCAATGGAGAGTTAAGACTTTTTATATATAAATGTACATGACCGTCTATCCCATCAGTCACTACTACTGTTTCGCCGCTTCCTTATCCAAACAGATGGAAACTTGGTTCATCATCCTTATCTCTCTGTGTGTTTCTGCTCTCATCAAAGCCCTCTTCAATCTTCTCAATTTCACCACCAAAAACTCCAACTATAAACTTCCTCCAGGCCCTTCCACCTTTCCCGTCATTGGCAATTTACTATTGCTCCGCAAGTCTTCCTTGGAACTTCGATCCATCATCCGATCTCTTCATTCTAAGCTTGGCCCTATAATCTCCCTCCGTATCAATTCTAATCCAGCAATATTCATTGCTGACCGCTCTCTAGCTCACCAGGCCTTGATTCAAAATGGAGCCGTCTTTGCCGATCGCCCGCCTGCCAACACCGTTGGAAGAATTACTGGTAGTAATCAGCATAACATCAACTCTGCCGCTTATGGCCCCAATTGGCGCCTCTTGCGCCGTAACCTCACAGCAGAAATTCTCCATCCTTCACGTGTCAAATCGTATTCACATGCACGCAAGTGGGTTTTACAAATTCTTCTTGACTGTTTCAACTCTCAGTCAAAATCGGGTGAGCCAGTCCGCCTTATTGACCGTTTCCAGTACGCTATGTTTTGCTTGTTAGTGTTGATGTGTTTTGGGGACAGGCTTGACGAGAAGAAGATTAAAAAAGTTGAGTATGTTCAGCGACGCATGCTTGTTAATTTAAGTCGATTTAATATCCTCAATTTCTGGCCAAGATTAACAAAAGTTTTGTTTCGTAAACGATGGGAAGAATTCTTGCAATTACGTAAAGAACAAGAGGAGGTATTGATGCCGTTGATAAGAGAAAGGAGGAAGATGAAAGAAGAGAGATTAAAAAAGGCTAAACATGATGTTAAAGAAGTGAACGATGAGTATGTTTTAGCATATGTAGATACGTTGTTTGATTTGGAACTCCCGGAGGAGAAGAGAAAGCTTGATGAAAATGAAGTTTTGAGTTTGTCCACGGAGTTCTTAAGTGCTGCTACTGACACAACATCGACGGCATTGCAATGGGTGATGGCAAATTTGGTCAAGTGTCCACATATTCAAGAGAAGTTATTGACAGAGATTAAAAGTATTGTTGGAGATGAAGAGAGAGAGGTGAAAGAAGATGACTTGCAGAAGATGCCATATTTGAAAGCAATCATTTTGGAAAGTTTAAGGCGTCACCCTCCCGCACATTTTGTGGTGCCACATGCTGTTACAGAGGACGTAGTTCTAAATGGGTTTTTGGTTCCAAAGAAGGCTTCAATAAATTTCATGGTGGCAGATATGGGATGGGATCCGAAGGTGTGGGAAGATCCAATGGAGTTTAAGCCAGAAAGATTCTTGAATAAAGAAGAAGTGTTTGACATCACAGGAAGTAGGGAGATAAAGATGATGCCATTTGGAGTTGGGAGGAGAATATGTCCGGGTCTTGGTTTGGCAATGCTTCATTTGGAGTATTTTGTGGCAAATTTAATTTGGTACTATGAGTGGAAAGCTGTGGATGGAGATGAGGTTAATTTGGAAGAGAAGGTAGAGTTTACAATGGTTATGAAATATCCGTTGCAGGCTCACCTAAATCCCAGGTTTAAATAATTAATTAGGATTTTTTTAGCTACTGATGATCATACATCTTGATCTTGGTACGAGGGCTGGTTAATTAAATTGCATATGTATGTGTGTTTCTTCTTTACTTGTCTGTAACTTGTAAGCTTTTAATAAGACAACAGCCTATGTAAAGTCCCATTGAGCAGTCCACGCGGAAAAATCTGAGAGTGTTTTTCATCTTTCAATACATGCTCAAACCAAGTACCAAAAATTTCTAGAAAAATATTTATTTTTTTACTTTGAAAATAGATTGAAAGTACAGAGTGAGGCAATCACGGGTTTGAAAAAAGCATAAAGCACTGGGAAGCTTTTCCGAATTCGACTTTTTCCATGAATGATAAAAAACTACCATAAGATCCCTACAAATAGATTTCAGCATGAAAATGGATGTCGATTCTCTTTGACCACCGAAATGTTCAATTTTCCCCTAAAGTTGTATTGTTAAAAATATTGTGGTGTATGTGATGCTATAGATCCATTGTTATTCTTCTAGAATAATACTAGTTTCATGGTGTATGTGATCCCGTGTTATTACTTTAAACAATAAAAAAAGTCAAAAATTATCGTGGTACATGTGATGCTCTAGATCCATCGTTTTTCTTCTAGAAGAATACTAGTTTCATGGTGTATGTGATCCATTGTTAGTTCTTATGGTGTTATGCCTTAGGAATGTAGGGCTAACGTGGACCAACTCAGCATGCAAAAGTCAGAACATGGGAACCCACCGCCGAGACACGTGATGAAGGGGCAGCCCGCATCTGTCAGTGCAGTGGGTGCGCGCCAGGCCAGCCATGAGCTGAAAAGTTTCCACGCGTCCAATTGCATGCACCAAATCGTGCAAATCGTTCTAGAAAACAGGCAATGGGACATAAAGTGAGATTTGTACGGATAATTCCACCAACTCAAAGATCTAGCAATCATCACCATGATCCACCCCACTATAAATTGAGAGTTCCTCTCTCAATTTTGGGATGAGCTAATCTCTCATAAACAAAGCATATACTCTCTCTCTCTCTCTCTCTCTCTCTCTCTCTCTCTCTCTCTCTCTCTCTTATTTGTAAAATAACTTGTACAGTCAGTTCGCTGACTGCGACCGGGTCGCTATCATTAATATACAATAGTGGACGTAGGATTCGCTTCCTTAGCATTCAAACCACTTTAAAACCTATCTTGTCATTCTTTTATTCCTTTTTTATCATTTAGTGTATGTCTTTTGGCTTAGCTCAGCATTTCACACGTTCATTTAGTTGGTGCCATAATACAGCATCAACAGTTTGGCGCTAGAAAGAGGGCTTGATTTAGTGTTCATCCTTCATCAGGAGAATCTCTAACTCACGGGTCCTACAACAACAAATGGCTCACCGTTTCGAACCTGAGCAAACCAACCAGAATACTGAGGGGATCCCTCAAATGCAGGAGGATACCTCTCTCGGGGTACCTTCGGCCCCACGGATCACCGCGGGGAACATCCCGTCAAGTTCACAACTTGACCATGCCGTCTTATGCTACTTGGAAAGGTTCAATAATACTCTCCAAACGGTCGCGCAAAGATTGGATTGTTTGGACAGGATGTACCGCCTAAGTCAAATGAGGCTATGCAACCGCCAAAAACGCCTGCAGGTAGTGCAAAAGCACTGCAAAGGGCGATAGCCTGTGCCGCAAGCACTGCAATGCGTCGAAGAAAGGGTAAGCAAGTGGCGAATGGGCCTAAAAGCGCAAAAGGCCCAACGAACACCGACTGCGCCCTTAGTAGAATACCTGCAGCGTTGAGACTTAGTGAAAGGGTGTAGCTCAAGCCGTCCCACGCCACGTGGCGTGAAAACCCCCACAAAAGTGCTGGACGAGGCAATTTTCATTACCGCTAGAACAATCCTGATCATCGTGAGGGAAGCAACCACATTTCGCAGGCCAGTTCGCACCACCGCGGAGGTCATGAAAGTTCCTCGAATAATGCAACGCCATCACACGGCTCTAGCCAGCATGTGTCGAGATTGGCCGAGACTGTCGACAGAGGCAAGGGGGAATTGGACCTATGGTCATTCCTCAACCGTAACCGTGAGGGTCGCACCCACGTTATGAAAAGTAATCCCCAGGTAGCGCCGCTACCTCAAATCGAAGAGCTGCAGCGAGCTCTTGCTTAACTGAAAGCTCAGCAAAATGAGCTAGGGCAGGTCGCATCGGCGTCTCCCTTTTCTCTGGCGGTATTAGTCGCCCCACTCCCATCGAGATTTAAAATGCTCGACATGCGGGCGTTCGACGGAAACTCTGATCCGCAGGATCACTTATATGAATTCAACTACCTGATAGAGCTTCACCAGGTCTTAGATTTGGCAAAATGTCGGTGTTTGGCGGTGACCTTAACCTCTCATGCCAAATAGTGGCTCAGGTCGCTCCCAGCGGGATCGATCAGCTTGTGGCCTCAGATGAGCATGACGTTCCTGAGGCACTTCCAAGCGAGCAGAAAGTTCTCGATGCCTTTGAGCTATCTCAACAATATAAGGCAAGAGAGGGATGAATCCCTCCAATCGTACATAGACCGATTCCACAGAGAACTCAACAAAGTAGCTCACACTCCCGAAGAGTCTGTTCGGACCCTCATCATTGCAGGAGTTCGTCCATAGACCGACATGTGGAAAGAGCTACAGGCTGAGGATGACGTTTCCCTCACCCGTTTTCACAGGCTTGCAGAGAAGTACCTCCGTATTGGAAGTTCTGTAATGGCACTCCATCGCTGCTATCGCGGTACCTTGGGCAGTGCGCCTGATCGGGAAGAAAGAAACGTTGGTTACAGATGGGCTCCTGACGATCAGCGAACAGGAAAGAAGCCGCGCTATGAGCCCAAAAAATCTTATGCTCTGGTTCCTCATCGCAATCGCAACATGAACCGATATACTCCCTTGAATGAATCTGTATTGGCTATTCTTGACAAATCAGAAGAGGCCAACCTGCTCGGAGAACCTGAGCCCATGAAGAATCCCCCATCGACTAGGAACAGTAAGAAATATTGTCATTATCATCGGGATAATGGGCACCATACCAATGAATGTTGAGCTCTCAAGCAGGCGATCGAAAATCTCATCAAATAGGGGCATTTCAAGGAGTATATTGATGACTCTGCTCCCTCACAAGAGAAAAATCAGGGGGAGCCTAGTAAGAAGCGCCGTGATCGGAAAAGGGTGTGCATCTTCAATTTAATCTTCGGGGGACCGCACTTCGCGGGGAACTCGCAAGGTGCTTGAGAAAGGTATGCTCGCGAAGCACATCACGATCCCATCAGAGTGATGAGTACGGCCTAGTGACCACAAAAGGTTCACAGGGACTAGGAAATTTCCTTCTCTGAAAAGGATGCGGCCTGATTGCATCATCCCCACGATGACGCCCTTGTGATCACGCCCCTCATAGGGCGCCATAACGTCCAGAAGAGGTTAGTGGACAACGGCAGTGTTGTGAACATTCTGTTCGCATCAACTTTCGAAAGAATGAATTTGGACGAGGCCGACCTGAAGCCTACCTCGTTCCCTTTATATGGTTTTTGTTATTCTTCTAGAATAATACTAGTTTCATGGTGTATGTGATCCTTTGTTATTACTTTAAACAATAAAAAAAGTCAAAAATTATCGTGGTACATGTGATGCTCTAGATCCATCGTTTTTCTTCTAGAAGAATACTAGTTTCATGGTGTATGTGATCCATTGTTAGTTCTTATGGTGTTATGCCTTATGAATGCAGGGCTGACGTGGACCAACTCAGCATGCAAAAGTCAGAACATGGGAACCCACCGCCGAGACACGTGATGAAGGGGCAGCCCGCATCTGTCAGTGCAGTGGGTGCGCGCCAGGCCAGCCATGAGCTGAAAAGTTTCCACGCGTCCAATTGCATGCACCAAATCGTGCAAATCGTTCTAGAAAACAGGCAATGGGACATAAAGTGAGATTTGTACGGATAATTCCACCAACTCAAAGATCTAGCAATCATCACCATGATCCACCCCACTATAAATTGAGAGTTCCTCTCTCAATTTTGGGATGAGCTAATCTCTCATAAACAAAGCATATACTCTCTCTCTCTCTCTCTCTCTCTCTCTCTCTCTCTCTCTCTCTCTCTCTTATTTGTAAAATAACTTGTACAGTCAGTTCGCTGACTGCGACCGGGTCGCTATCATTAATATACAATAGTGGACGTAGGATTCGCTTCCTTAGCATTCAAACCACTTTAAAACCTATCTTGTCATTCTTTTATTCCTTTTTTATCATTTAGTGTATGTCTTTTGGCTTAGCTCAGCATTTCACACGTTCATTTAGTTGGTGCCATAATACAGCATCAACAGTTTGGCGCTAGAAAGAGGGCTTGATTTAGTGTTCATCCTTCATCAGGAGAATCTCTAACTCACGGGTCCTACAACAACAAATGGCTCACCGTTTCGAACCTGAGCAAACCAACCAGAATACTGAGGGGATCCCTCAAATGCAGGAGGATACCTCTCTCGGGGTACCTTCGGCCCCACGGATCACCGCGGGGAACATCCCGTCAAGTTCACAACTTGACCATGCCGTCTTATGCTACTTGGAAAGGTTCAATAATACTCTCCAAACGGTCGCGCAAAGATTGGATTGTTTGGACAGGATGTACCGCCTAAGTCAAATGAGGCTATGCAACCGCCAAAAACGCCTGCAGGTAGTGCAAAAGCACTGCAAAGGGCGATAGCCTGTGCCGCAAGCACTGCAATGCGTCGAAGAAAGGGTAAGCAAGTGGCGAATGGGCCTAAAAGCGCAAAAGGCCCAACGAACACCGACTGCGCCCTTAGTAGAATACCTGCAGCGTTGAGACTTAGTGAAAGGGTGTAGCTCAAGCCGTCCCACGCCACGTGGCGTGAAAACCCCCACAAAAGTGCTGGACGAGGCAATTTTCATTACCGCTAGAACAATCCTGATCATCGTGAGGGAAGCAACCACATTTCGCAGGCCAGTTCGCACCACCGCGGAGGTCATGAAAGTTCCTCGAATAATGCAACGCCATCACACGGCTCTAGCCAGCATGTGTCGAGATTGGCCGAGACTGTCGACAGAGGCAAGGGGGAATTGGACCTATGGTCATTCCTCAACCGTAACCGTGAGGGTCGCACCCACGTTATGAAAAGTAATCCCCAGGTAGCGCCGCTACCTCAAATCGAAGAGCTGCAGCGAGC